TGAATCGCGTTTAGTTACTAAGATGAGATGGGTAGTTGAAGCAAGAAATGGCCACATCAAATCCATTTTTAAATTCCTTGATAAAACTATTCAAATCCAGCATATACCGAATTTAAGAGATTATTATAAAATAGCTGGCGCTATCATCAATAGATACCATCCTCCACTTGTTATGGAAGGTGCTGATGCCAATATGGCTCATCAATTTCTAACTAAAGCACAAGAACCGAACGTTGTTCAAGCTCTAGTCGAAGCAGAAAATCTTCACACTAGAAATGCTGGAAGATGGGTGAGTTTAGCTGCAAATCAATTAAATGATTTTCCGCTTCTAGGATTAGATTTATTAAAAGAACTGACAACGGGTATATACCAAATAAAATTAGCACCATCCTACATTCAAGATAAATCGCAGAGAGATGACGACGAAGAATTTCTTGAGAACTTGAGATGTTGAGAGATAACGACAGGTTACCCGCTCCTGGCTTGATGAGAGTCAGAGTGTATTCACGTTTTCGAAATACAACAAAATATCAACTGTGGATATCATATCGACCAATCGATGAAGATGAGGAATATGATGAATTTATACCTATTAACGGTTACTATTGTACCTGCAAATCTGGGGCTCGAACTTTTGGCACTTGTGCCCACATAGCCAGCATATTGTGGTTTTTTGGGTACGCTCGTCATGAGAATAATATTCGTTACCCTTCAACCCAATTAATTCAAACTGTTCAAGATGCCGCACACAGATTACCCCAAGAAAATCCAACAAATCATAACTGATGTACGAACCGGATAATCACCTACCAATTTAAGCCTATCAAGGTAAGCAGAATAAACGGCCCTTTTAAGGGCCAAAAGATGTGCAAAATCCGATCGTTTAACCTCCACGTGGTGCACATCGAGTTACGCTAATAACGACGGTAAAACCAGGAGTATTATGCAATCGTATCAATTATTACTTTAAAACTATATTACTTTGGCTTTGAAATACTATGCCCTTAAAGTGATAAGCGATCCTCACATTCGGGTTCGGCGATCCCAAAAACCTATATGTCGACTGATTGGAACTCATTATACACTTCAGTTTTCGAGTATATCGACTAGAGACTTCGTAAAACTCAGTCAGGCCCATAGGCAATATCTCACACTTCCCCCCTCTATATCTCTGAAACTATCCATAGGATCACTTCGGGCCCATGACAACTTTTGATCAGAAAGTCGAGAACTATAACATATTAAAATTTCAGCCTAATCGACCGGGACCCATTTTCCGTTCATTTTGTGCGGGGTCCTTTGGAATTTCATCAAAATCACTCGTCATATAGATTTTTTTTCTTATAGAGATAGTTCTTTGTACAGGTATTTCAATGTATAAATGTTTAATTGTTTGTCACTTGACAGAATTTCGTTTTCCTTATAGAAGAAATAAAGAGACATATGAATAAAAATTATAAAATTAAAACGTTTTACGATCGATAATAAATAATGAAGTAGTAATTCATTAAAGAGATATATGTAACAGGATATATATAGAAATGTTTTTATTCAATATTGATTTTTTTGAAATTTCAATTTTCTTTTTAAAAATATAGTCATTTATGAACGGACTAGGGCCCTATTCTTTAACTCTTAAAGACTGCATATCGTTACATTGTCATTATGCAGATTTTCTATACAGTAGGAAAGCTGTGCAATGACAATTTAACGATATCGTTAGAGTCGTTAAGTGTTACAGAATAGGCCCCTTTGCAATCTTAAAGTTTCTTTTATAGTACTACATTCATCTTGTATTATTTTTTAAAATATTAAAAAATTTAATTTATGTTATAATATTGTTTTTTATACAATTACGAAATTTCTGTTAACTTATCCAAATGTCGACTTGCTGTCGACTGTACCATATAGGCAATTATTTTTTTTATGAGAAACATTGGCCGATTTTACGAACATGCGTGAATTTTTCCAATGAATTTTTCAACTCTTGGGAAAAATGTCGATGAAATCCACGGAAAATTGGAAAAATTTGATTATTTCTGATCCTTTAAAATAAACAATTACAGAGTATACTACAATGTTTACAATAATATTAATATTTTGTTTGGTCTAATAAATTTCCTAATAATGTAGTTGATTACATATTTTTAAAAAATACGAAGAAATAATTATAAGTATTATTCATACGTGAGCTTTTCGGTGTAATAGCCACTTTATTCGCTTTGCCGTGGCAATTACTTGCGTTTCAGATTTATGAATGCGGTATACATATAGCTTATACAATTGTATGGAAATAAGCTATTATGGAAAGCATATTCATGAGTTTGTGGAAAAGATATAAAGCTTTCTCCATTTCTCACGCTCACTCAGCGCTCCGAAATATGTGATTACGTGGGCTACAGTGCGTCTCTGTGATGGTGAGAAGTTATAGTGTCGTAAGCATGAGTAGTGTTATCAGCTCTGATCCTGGTGGAAGGATTATGTTTAGCATTTTCCAGCAAGGATACAATCACACTGTAACACAGTGAATCATTTCATCCTTGTTAGGCAAACAAGGATGTAATGCAGTGCTCGTAAAAATGTGCACATTTCTGCCAGAAAAATACTGGGAACGCAACTTCCGCCATATTATTGAAATTTGTTTTTTATTAAAAATTTTATTTCTATTATACATATAAAATAAAATTTTCTATTGTTAATTTATTCATTATTTCTTAATGATATTTAATATATCTTAACGTAATTTTCTAATACATTACATTGTTACTATTTATAATACATCAAATTTAATAGAAATAAATTATTTAATAAAAGACGTATTTGAATAATGAATTGGCGGAAGGTGCGCTCCCAGTATATCTCTGGTATAGGGACACGCTCCTGAGCCACAACGTCGCGTGCGCGATTGGCAACTAGAGGTTTGTTCGCGTCGCATGTTCCAACATGCTCCTATATGCTCCTATCATAGCTCCTACTCACTTCAATGTGTTCGTTAGAGTGATTAGGAACTACGGCAGGAGCATGTTGCAGCATGCGACGCGAACAAACCTAAGGCTGAGATTCCACTGAGCGCGTCACGCGTCGCGTCATCGAAGAAGAGAAAGAGAGAAGTTGTGTATTTATATAATCTTATCTGCCTCTCTTTCATGATGCGACGCGTGACGCGCTCAGTGGAAACGTACCATTAGGCCACCGAGCCTCGAACGGTGGTGGGGGACAGTAGGCGGCGCCTGCAGGAATCGGCTCTAAATATGCAGATTATTGCGAGCACTGATGTAATGAATCACTGTGTTACATTAGGCCTGTTTTTTAAGGCTAAACTTTTGCATCAGTTCATCTTTCTTCTTCTTCTTTTCTCCTGAAGAGAAAAAGAAGAAAGATGAACTGATGCAAAAGTTCAGTTAAAAAGAACAGTCCTATTGTGTCAGACTGTTTTTGCTGGAAAATACCCATGATGTGCTCAGTTTTGGCAAACCACACGCTTTTTGCGAGTCGAGGTACCGTTTAGTTCCCAGGCTTACCAACTGCAAAGAAATGAATTAGATTGCTACGATTGATTTGAATGCATTTTCATTCCATCTCATGTATTCTGTTCTGTTTTCGGAATTTGTCATACATGTGAATTCTAAACTATTGTAAGATTTGTATTAAAAAATCTGACATATTTTCTAAAAAGTTATAAAATTAAATAGAAATTCTAAAAATTATGAAATTTACATAAAAATTTAGAAAAATTATATAAAGAGTTGTGAAAAAAAGTTTATAATTCTGATGGAAATTTTTTATCAGTTATGTCATATAATTCTTCATAAATGTTATTTCATATAATTTTTCATAAATGTAATATAAACTTCAGAAATTTTGGAATTTGTGTATAATTTGTAACATTTTGGAAAATTTCTAAAATTTTTTTATACGAATTTTACAATATATTGTAGAATTCACAAACATGAAAAATTCTGAATTTTTATAATTTTTTCATCATTTTATAACTTTTTAGAATATCAAACTTTTTTATACGAATCTTACAATATTCCAGAATTCACATTTATGAAAAATTTTAAAAAAGCAATAGATATTTTGAGTATGTATTTCTGAAATGTATTTCAATTCCTATTGTAGCTTCTATTCACTCTAATGAATGTGTTACAGTTGCTGCGTTCAACAGAGAAAGCAGCTTTGCAATTGTTGTAAAATTCTCGAATATGATTGGTTTATCCATTTAGATCCAATGAGGAACTAAGCGCAAGACCAATTATATTTAAGAAATTTACAACAGTTGCAAAACTTTCTCTGCTGAACGCAGCCAGTGAGTAGGAACTTGGGTAGCAGCATGCAACGCGAAAAACAATTGGTAATATTATTTAGTACTATATGATAAAAAGAGACTGAACCTAAATGATATGCGTGCGACGAAGACAACAAAAAAGTTGGCTAAACTGGGAATACGAACGATAATCGAGCAAGCGAGAGGGTAGAGAATTAGAGAGAGACTCTTGCAAACTGCACGCACCATGTAAATCCTTCCCCCATGGTACAAAGCCAATCAGGAGCAAATCCAGGTGAGACTGGCCAGACCATGTATATATAGGGACATGAGGTGTGCATTCCAAAACTCAACTCTCCACTCCGAGTATCTTTTATCATTGTTCAACGTTCGGTGAAGAACAAGGATAAAAGATACTCGGAGTTGATTAAGTTGAGTTTTGGAACGCACCCCAGAGGGACTGTAACGTGGTAGCACTGACAGCGCGCCCTTCGAAAACAACAGACGGTGTCAAACATGAAGAACTCAGAGTCTCGGAATCGTAGCGGACATTCCACCGATCTACGGCTTACATCCGCTTGCAAACTCAGGATGCCAATATCGACGCGAAAAAGTAAGTAGAATAGATCTAACGTTAATTGTATTCCACTTTTCGCAATGCTCGCATGCAATGGCTGCTTTCAAGCAGAATGTTCATTTTGTTACTATTGGAAGTTTTCTTTGCTTAGATCAGTGCTGCGATTTACTTGCACATTTTGGCCGATTTTCAACTTGATTTCTGCTCATTACTTCACTAACCCGCGCGTAACTTAAATGCCGGATCAACATTTAGGCTGCGCGCGGGTTAGTGGAGAAAGGAACAGGAACCAAGCTGAAAATCGGCCGAAATGTGCAACTAAATCCCAACACTGGCTTAGATAATATTACTCTGGAGAGAAAGGGGGTAGGAGGAGAGGGAGAGGGAGGAGGAGGTTTAGTCGTTTGCTACACTCTTCTAGCATACAATGCTAAACGATTAACATTTTTCACTTAAAAATCTCTTTTCTTTTATAAAAACAAAATGCCGCTTAATTTTGTGAAAAGCACAAAGAATAAAAATCTTCTTGTCTATTCTGGTTATATATTTGTAAAAGATTACAAAAAGAAGGAAAAGATATATTGGAAATGCGTGAAATACAGTACCGATAAGTGTCGTGGGAGAGTACATACTTATCTCGAAGAAGTGGTATATCATAAGGACGAACATAATCATGTTCCTCCTTATTAGGAGGTATATTATTTTTAATTTATTTGGTCCATTACATGGACCAAATAAATTAAAAATAAGAATATTGAAAACAATAATAGAAACCTTTATCTAAGTCAAATTCAATATTCAAATGTAATGAATAAAAACCTTATATTTTATGAATAAATAATAAATTAGAAATTTAAATGTCGATGAATAAGAAGGAAGGGAATAGTTATAAATTAAATAAGTTATAATTAGTTTCAAAATATGATATATTTTATTATATATGCTAATGTTTACAATGTAACATTTTTTAAGTAAACAAAATAACGTATTTTACATGAAATATATCAAAGTAATATAGAATAATATATGGGAAATAATTATTAATTAATTTGATTGTCACTTTGTAATTGTAAATTATGTGCAACTCCAATTAAATATTCTGATAAACTTCGCCTATTATATTCGAGAACTATATTTTCTAATTTCTTTTCGGCGTCAATGTAAATTTTACGACGCTTAGCTTGCTGTCCTCCTATATACTGATTTATTTTTATTCTATTTAAGTTTTCCTCTTTTTGAAGAGTATCGATAAACTTCCATATTATAGGATGATTTGCAGCTAATAGAGAAGAAAATGCTTTGTGCCATCCTTCTACAGCGTTATTTGTTTTTGGCATTTTGTTCAATACGTTTTCATATTGGTTCCAATATTCTAAACTGAACATTGGTTGTCTCCTTTGACAATATCTATTTGGACGCCCAATCCATGTATCTTCAAAATAATCAATTAACGGTTGTAAAAGATTCATATTCTCAACATAAAACTGTTGCATTAATAAATTATCGAAAGATGTAACAACATCTTGAACAGGTACAAATGCTAATGCTAATAATTGTCGTACATTGAGAGCAAACTCTACATTTTCAATATATTTTTTACGTAGTTCGTATATAGTTTGAATTTTGCGCCAAATACACTGACAAAAATGAAAGAAACATCCCTTTATACGAACAACTTCAAACGATCTTGAAATGCATTATGCAAAGCTATTTCGAAATCCATCATAACTGAAAATGGCCTAATATTCGGTGATAATTTCTTAAGTTCACTAATTAATCGTTTGTATGTATGTTTAGTTTTATTTGGAAGAAGTGCATATACAAGAGGAATTACAGTATTAAATTTTGAAACATGAATAGTTAGTATTTGTGCGAATACAGGTGGAGTACATTTAAATGTACCATAGACAAACCATTCAGATTCAATTTCGGACAATAGTTCTAAATTACGATTAGTCGAAAATAATAAAATTCTTTCTGCATCCTCAATACCGCTATCAAAAAGTAAAAATTGTTCATTTTGTAATGTAACTGTATATGGATATGATAACACCAATTCTTTTAACGTATTAGGATTAAATAGTACGCCACCCTCGGGTTTTCGTCTTCGCTGTATCATTTTCATCATAGCAGATGTTGATGGTAAAGCTGCAGTAATTGCTGGAGATGGAACACCTATTGATTCCGATAAAACTTGCTGAGGAGTCGGCATTAAACATTCAGCAGCTTTTTCTCGAATATTAGCCAATGTACTTCTCACTTGAAAATCAACGCTGTCAGGAACATGATTATGTTCGTCCTTATGATATACCACTTCTTCGAGATAAGTATGTACTCTCCCACGACACTTATCGGTACTGTATTTCACGCATTTCCAATATATCTTTTCCTTCTTTTTGTAATCTTTTACAAATATATAACCAGAATAGACAAGAAGATTTTTATTCTTTGTGCTTTTCACAAAATTAAGCGGCATTTTGTTTTTATAAAAGAAAAGAGATTTTTAAGTGAAAAATGTTAATCGTTTAGCATTGTATGCTAGAAGAGTGTAGCAAACGACTAAATCGAAATGTATATCTATAACGTTATATATAGCGGACGAAGAAGTGTCGCGGACGGACAAATGTTCTTACGACGCGTAAAAGAATGTAAGCAAAAAACATGTTTCGAAACATAAACAGTAGACGGTAAAGTGTCGTGGACGAAGAAATGTACTAAACATAAACAGTAGACGTAAAATGTCTTACGAACAAGTGACGACGATGAAATGTCGAACGATGAAATGGTAGAAGGTGAAGTGTCCATAAACCGCACCAGGATATACACCTGCTCCGCCTGCTCTAGGATATACACCCGCGCCGCCTGCATCGGGATATACACTCGCGCCGCCTGCACCAGGATATACACTTACGCCACCTGCACCAGGATATACACTCGCGCCACCTGCACCAGGATATACACCCGTGATGCCTACACCATACGGTAAAAAATATTTTGTATTTGTTTAGGAAAACGATCCACTCAAGTTTTGTTAAAATTTATTTTTTTTATATGTTAATTTTAGTGGAAAAATATGCTTTTACAATTTGTTTTGAAATCGTGACCCTTTTTGTGTTAATATTTTACATAGTATTTCTCACTATGTGACATATTTGTCTTATGACATAAAATGAGTGGACCGCTCGAATACGTAAAACAAATATAATACAAATTTTTCAATTGTGCAGGATATACTTCCGCGCCGCCTGTACCAGGATATACACCCTCTCCGCCTACACCAGGATATACACCCGTACTGCCTGCACCAGGATATATACCCGCGCCGCCTGCAGCAGGCTGTACTTCCGCGCTGCCAACACTGTAATTATAAACATTGATAAAATAAACGGGCAAGTAAGATTACTATTTTCCATGAATAGAATCGATTACTTTGTAACGCGCGATGTACCCCCATAAGTGCATCGTTCCCGGCAATATCAACTCGCCGGATGCCGCTACGGTGACCCCCGGTCACCGTATGCGATGAGAGCGCGGTGCGCTCGACACATTTTTAGAAACGCAAACATAATTCCAGGCCGCGAGACTTCTAGTCGTATGAAACCCGAGCGTCGCCGAACGACGCCGAGCGCCGCAGCTCTCGCTCGTATTGTTCCACACCGAGAGTCACCGAATGATTCCGGAACAATACGAGCGGGAGCAACAATCCGGTATAAAAGCCCGGCGAAAGATTAATTCGGGCTTTTTGCTCCTAATCCAGCTCCTAGCAAACCGACCGCTTTCTAGAGATCCGACTTCCAGAGCAATACTGCGGTGGTGAGGGTATTCTCCGCCACTACCGGCATTTACCGGTCCGATATTGCATTCAACTCGGCTCTCTGGCTCACCGCTCATTGCTCGCTCTTCGGACCGTCTCGCTGTACCGCGGCGGTAGGGCTCTCCCTGCCTCTGTCGGCCGTTTCCGACCAGCTGCAGCGACCGCTCCGAGAGCCTTGCAACAGGGCAACCGAGACGAGAGTTCCGCTTTTCCGCGATGCGCGACCGGCTTCGACAAGAACCAGGGGGTTGGCTTTTGCCCGCCTCCGTCGGATGTTCCCGACAGTCGAAGCCGTGCCGTATCACTCGCTACGCAGAAAGCGCATCTATCGGGGCGACGTATCGCTCTTCGCGTTGCGACACGTCGCGCGAATACCACGTGCTAGCGGTGTAAGCCCGCGACCCGCGTACCCCGCGTCGCCGAATGGTTCACGCGACTACGGTCGCACTGCGAATCGCGCCCGCCGTACGTACACACACACACCGTACACATACACACCGCACACGTACACCGACACGAATTGTATCAACACGCACACACACACGCACACATACATACACTCTGTAACATATATCGCAATATACTATCATCTTATCACACAAATCCGTATTAACAACGTTATTACCGCCTTGCGTCTCTCTCCTCCTGGCCGAACCTCTTTGCGACCTTGGCCGCAGCCCGTGACCGACGAGCTACGTCCGCGCAAAGTCAGGTTGTTTCAACTCCCCGAGCAGAAATGAATCTAACCAATCTGATTTACCATCTAAGCACTAGACAGTATTAACTAGATTTCTAACTCGTCACTGGATAGTCACTAGCTAATATTTCGTAATATCAATAAATTTGTCTAGTGACTGCCTAGTAATTACAACATTACACCTACATCTTATTTACTAGACAGCCGCTAGACAGATTTCTTGACATAAAAAATCTGTCTAGAGACTGGCTAGTAATTACGACGTTACACCTACATCCTATTTACTGGCCAGCCGCTAGACAGATTTCTTGACATAAAAAATCTGTCTAGAGACTGGCTAGTAATTACGACGTTACACCTACATCCTATTTACTGGCCAGCCGCTAGACAGATTTCTTGACATAAAAAATCTGTCTAGAGACTGGCTAGTAATTACGACGTTACACCTACATCCTATTTACTGGCCAGCCGCTAGACAGATTTCTTGACATAAAAAATCTGTCTAGAGACTGGCTAGTAATTACGACGTTACACCTACATCCTATTTACTGGCCAGCCGCTAGACAGATTTCTTGACATGAAAAATTCTGTCTAGGGACTGCCTAGTAATTACGATGTTACACCTACATCTTATTTACTAGACAGCCGCTAGACAGATTTCTCGACATGAAAAAATCTGTCTAGTGGCTGTCTAGTAATCTGGAGACACTGGTAG